GATTCTCTGCGAAGCAGTGTGTATAAATGATGAACACTGCTTGACATTGTAAAGCACTTTTCAAAAACTTTTCAAAAACTTGTTTTGAAAACAGAGTATTCAGCAAATCTTACATAAATTATTATTTTCCTGAGTCATTTATGTTGTAAAGGTCTTCTCCTTTTTAAAAGTCAAAAATGAAAAGTACAGAATGCATCAGCAGACATTCCAAAAAAAGATTAAACAAAGGAGTAAAGCTACAAATATAAAACATCTGCTTACAGAAAGAAATTATAGCTTTCATTTATAACGACCTGCAGAAAAATAATAAGACAACAACCAAGGGAAATTTGAAAAACAGTATGCATGACAATGTTTGGATGATTTGTTAACACTTGACATTTTGCATTGAATTTAGAATTTTAGAGAAGCTACAGATTTATTTAAGGAGTGCTGTTATTCCTGGAACATAAAAGAGAGAGAAAAAGCACCCATCCAATGTCTGTTTCTCACCCGATCATAGTTTTCTGCCCAGCAGTTGTAGAAGCTGACCTTCTCATCTGATGTGGTGCTTTTATGAGCTGACAAAAGGACAGATTTTACTCTTTCAAATGCTTCACTGTCGGCAGACATTATAAAGACCTGTTGAAGAAATTAATATTTAAAAAAGGAAACAAATAAAATTTAGAAACTATATCAATTAAATTAGGATTATTTACAAAACATCAGATCAAACGTAGCAGAGCAAAGTTTTCCTGATAGTGAGAACTCTATAGTTGTCATCACTATTATGACATAGCAAGTGTAAGTAAGTAAGTAATGTTTATTTATATAGCATCTTTCACAGACATAGAGGTCACAAAGTGCTTTACAAAATTACAATAAAAATAAAAATACATTTAAACTCACAAAAGACATGGTCATAAAACTAGGATGTAGAATTAGGACCAACTAGATTTTTTTTTTTCTATTTCAAGAATAAAGTCGTAACATTATGAGAATTAATTCTTAAAATTATTAGAATAAAGTCGCAATATTACGAGAAAAAAGTCAAAACGACAATAGTCATAAAATTACGAGAATAAAGTCTTAATACTAAGAGAATAAAGTCGTAAAATTACTAGAATAAAGTCGTAAAATTAAGTTAATAAATTTGCAATGAGAATAAAGCCAAAATTACAAGAATAAAGTCGTAAAATGAAGAGAATAAAGTTGCAACGACAATAAATTCATAAAATTACAAGAATAAAGTCGTAAAATTAAGAGAATAAAGTTGCAACGAGAATAAAGTAATAAAATTACAAGAATAAGTCATAAAAATAAGAGAATAAAGTCATAAAATTAAGAGAAAAATGTCCTAAAATTACTAGAAACAAGTAGTATTTTATAAAAACTCCTATAAGAAACACTTTCTTGCCTAAAATGAGGAATGTCGAACATTATGTTAAGTTATAATTTTGCTCTTACTTTATTTTACAACTTTATTCTCAAAATAAAAGAAAAAATCTATAGCCTTGCCCTAATACTCCGTGTTATAAAACAAGCTGTAATCTAGTAGAATTAAAATGCTTTCTTAAACAAATGGTTTTCCTTTTGCTCTTAAAAACATAAACAGAATCAAGTAAACACAGTAATTGTAATGAAGTTTTACAGCTTCTGAACTAATATGTTCTGCTATAATAACATGAGAGAACTGGGTGAGTTTGCTTAACAACAAATGAGCAGTTTCATCCGTATTAACAATAAAGGACTGTGTTTTTTTTAAACGTATTATAAGCGATAAAGTGACACGTGTGCAACAGCAGATTGTTATGCTCCTATTGTGATGCTATGGAGAGTAAAACATGTGGTCTAATCTCCGGAAGTAAATATGGCAATACTTTGACTATAATGGCTTTCTGCATTCAATTTATGATCAGTACATCTGCAGTATATAATGCATTAGCAAAAAGATGCTTGATTATTTTGTTTGTTTTATTTCATTCTGGTTCATGCCATGCTAAAGGAAAATTGTGTAACCTCTCCTGTCTATTGCACCATAATAGATTTAGTGTGAAGTTAAAAGTAAGTCCGCTTTAGTAGAGGGAGGTTGGTGTGAACACATGCTTAGATATACATCAACACATGCTTTCTAATTTTGCTTATTCATAAGATTTCCTTTTATTTTACTTGTCTCGTCGCAAATCTTCCTTTTGTTATTCTTTTTTTAATGGCTGTTGAGAAAGAGCATACAGGTATATTACCGCCACCTTCTGTAATGGAGTATGAATCGGAAATCTTATTTTAGAAAGACATTTTGTTTAATTTTTTTAATGGTATTTGAAGTAATTCTCTTACCCTTAAGTTTTCTTGACCTTTTACTGACAAAAATATTTTCTCTCGTAGCCGCACAAGCTATATGGGATTATGGGCTATTCCCTCAGTAAAAACTGTCAGGGTGAACGGCGTTCCAATACAACTTTTATTCATATGAGCAAACAGACCTCAGGTGTAAACGCTAGTCTTAACTTCCTTATACATCTTTGTGTTTTTAATAGATTATTAACCAGTTAGTTCTGCTTCGAAAAATATAATTATTTAGCGTCGGTGTTTAACGCTACATCTATTGACACTTATATTTCCGACAGCCTTGAAGCAGACACTTTAGTAGAGGGAGGCTGGGGGGAATACACTTGCTTACACACACACCAACACATGCTTTTTAAGAGCTTTATTTTCTTATCTCGTCGCAGATCTTCCTCTTCTTATTTATTTATTTATTTATTTATTTATTTATTTATT